TCATTTCGTGGGCCCTACTGTGAAAGTCATCATCATCCTGGCATAATCGTCTAAGACGCAAGAGTTGAGAGAAAGGAATGGCGTCCTTACAAGACCGAGGATGAGAGGAGTCATAGAGTAGAAAGGCATGGGAGTCGGTGGGTTTATAGTAGACCGATGTAGTGAGACCACGAGGGTTGATAGAAACTGAAAGGTCCAAGAAATTGACTGAAGAGGAAGAAATATGGTGGGTTAGTTGGATACTGGGGTGAAAATTCGAGAAGAATTCAATGAAGTTTTCCAGTTCCACTACTGACATATCAGTGACACCAAAACCATCATCAATATATCTCCTATACAATTCAGGGACTCTACCTGTGTACAGTAGCCACACCTGGTATTCCAGAAAACCCATGAAGAGGCAGGCATAACTAGGGCCCATTTTAGTGCCCATAGCCACACCATTAATTTGGGCAAAGTACTTGCCGTTAAACTCAAAAGAATTGAGAGTCAGAACCAACTCGGCTAAACGTATGATGGGTTCAGTGGCAATGGCTGGATTACTGTGTTTGTCCAGAAAGAAACGCAAAGCTGAGAGGCCATCACTGTGAGGGATGGAGGTATACAGTGAGGCAACATCCAAAGTAAAGACCTGATACCTACTATGGTCTGAGGTGAAAATCATAGACTCAAAAGTTACAATGGCATGGTTGGTGTCCTTCAGGTAAGACGGAAATCCGGATGTAAAACATCCAAAGTGGCAACACTGAGAAGCACGCCAAAGGTCATGACTCCGTATCACTGTCAAGACTGATGAACATGGGGGTGCAGCCTGGAGCTGCAAGAAATAAACATTTCACTAAGGGGACAAGACGTTTTATTAACCACCACAGAATAGGTGTCATCAGTCGTTTGACACTTGTGGAGCTTTTGAGGGGGAGATCGGAGCACCTATGGATCTGTCCGGAGTACTGTGATGATATGCCTTTATAATCACTAAGCGAATGTAGGTTCATAAGTGGTTTTACATAAATTATTGTGTCCGGAGTGCCGTGAAGATAACTTAAATCATAACATAAATTATTGGTCGTCGCTGGGGCTTTGGAGCTTGTATTTTGTGTGATGCTTTTGGCAGGGGTCAGCTGATCTGCAGTGCGAGTCAGACAGAATAAAACTCGATGCAATTAAATTTACGCTTTCACCTTTAATTTAATTTTGTGCATGTGTCTGAGATTTGCTTAACATTATTGCAATATTGTCTTCATGTTCATCAGTTGTAAACTGTTCAAAAAGACCCGGTTGTTCGCCAATTTTCTCTGTGTGCTCACGCGTGTGTCTCCCCCGTCTTCATCTCCTTCTCTTCTTTTTTTTTCAGCGTTCACCCGATGTTGACTGCGGCATAAAGTTCTGCTTATTCGTCCACTTCTGGACTTTGGTCTTCTTCCAGAACATGAATTTTGCATGCACACCCGTCGTAAACAGATCTGGCTTATTTGTATCCAGTTTGTTGGTTGCTCGCCTCTTAGTCAGATGCACATCCCACTTCGAAGGAAACGTTTACTGCATCTACACTGGCTCCTGGTTGGGAACCATTTTCTAGGACGACTGTGGAAATGTGGACCAGTATGAGTCTGGTCCTAGTGCACACCATGTGTGGTTCAACACCTTTGCATCCCATTAAGGTAAGAGTATAATCGGGAATTTCCACAACAAATGCTTCATCAAGCACATAGATAGAATTAAATCCTATTCTGATTCGCTAAATGGCTGCGGTCCTGTTCCAAAGATGTAGATGGTACTCAGATGTGGTAGCTGGTCCTCAGAACCGCAAACGATTTGTCCAGGCTTGCCACAGGGGTCACCGCTATCACCAGTCTTTTTCAACGTGTATACGGTGATGATCACTGAGCAGCAGTTGAATGGAAAAGGAAGGACTTTGTCATTTACTGATGACATTTTGATTTATCGACGAGGGCGTGATAGACAGGAGATCGCCAGCACAATGCACAAAGAACTCGATCGAATTGCCGCCTGGTGTGATGTTTCCAATGCCTATGTCAATCTTTCGAAGGCATCAGTGTCATGGTTCTCTTTGAACAATCACATTGTCAAGTCGGACCTACCAGAAGTGAAAATGCGGGATAATGTATTGGTCAGAACCAACGTTATGACGTTTCTCTGGGTGAGGTTCGATCGCAGCTTGTCATTCAGGGAACACGTTGACCATGTGATAACAAAAGCACGCAAAGGTCTATCTGCAATGAGGATTATGGCTGCTTCCAATATCGAGCAAAGACTGCTAATACTTCTATTCTACGGTCTGATCCTTTCCCCCATTTAATACGCTCTGGCCATTCCTCACTGTTAGTGCTACCCAGATTGAACGACTTTAAAAGGCGCAAAATGAAGCCATGCGCATTATTTTGGGATGTACAAGAGACACATCATGTGGAGCAATGAGGTATCTACCTGACTTTCCAACAATGAACCAAAGGATCAGGATGTGGAGGGCTCGGACATACCTTAAAATATGTGCTTATAAGAAACACCAACTGCATCAAGCCCTTTTTAGTGAAAAGGGCGACAGACTGAAGAGGTGAAAATCGTGGCTAGGTCGGGCAAAAGATATTAGGTAAATGCAAATTAACCGACATCATACCTGGTGCAGAGTGGATACCTGTGCCTCATGCGTTTATTTGTACATTTTCCTGTATTGCCACACTCAACAGGCGATGTAGAGAAGAGAATCCTGTTGCTGTTAATGCAGAGGTCAACGCTTTCATCAGTGAAAATTCAGATGAAGCAGATGCACTTATCTACACAGACGGATCCGTTAAAGCGCATGGCATTCACAGCACGCTCAGCGGGCAGAACAGTCAAAGAAGCGAAGACAATGGCTTGAATCATTACAGAAGTCCACTGTGCATGGAGTCACCTTTATTTTTGTTCCTGGGACACGCAGGCGTCAATGGAAATGAAAAAGCTGACAGGTTGGCTGGATCCGCTATCACTACCGACGGTCAGCCCATGGATCATGCTGATATTATTAATGCCCTCAGAGAAATGGGAAGAATAGAGGACTTTAGTGGCAGTGAATCCACATCACTCGCCAGAATGGCAGACTTAGGAATAAGATCGGCATAGCAAAAAAAACGAGACGCACACCAGAAGACTTGTTAATCAACACAGAACTGGTACTATTAGCCATCGGACGTTGGGGTTCATACTGAGAGGAGGATCTAAGCACCTATGGACATGTCCGGAGTGCAATGATGATAACCCAACTAACTAACTAACAGATAGAATTATGTGAAATATGACTTTTATTTCAAGTCACATTGGATGACAATAAAACAATATCCAATGCACAAAGAGAACACAGTTTTGCCACAGAAACAACATTCTAGCTGTCATTTTCATGTTAAGAAGTAAACAACTTGAAAGACTGCAACAATCTAAACCTTCAGTTGAGCCGAGTCAATAACTGACACCACATCACTTGGGACATTCTCATACACACTCTGTTCTCCTTTTCAGCAGCCAGTGAAGAGTTCCAAAATCATAAATAGTATCAAAAGCAAGCAGTTTGATTATATGTGTGTCATGCCTTTCCTCTGCGTAGAACCAACCCTTCTGTAGTAACCACTGTAGAAACTGGTAGCACCTCATACTACACAATACTGATACCTCACAGTGATAGGGCAATAAGTATCTTTTAATGTTGGATTGTGGTTAATAAACAAACTGACATGCATTGATTGGCTCTCATAAAAAGAAGTAGAGAGTACATTTGTTCCTGCAGTGAGGCGCTGTCAGCATTATTTGTCACAGGACTGATTTCCAGAACGATAACTATGGCTTTAGATTAGTATGTTGTCATAAATTGTTTTCCTATCTTCCTACTTCTTTCTACAAGTGATGTCAACTTTTTTATATTACTGTTTCTACAGCCTCAAAGGTTAACCATCTGTTTATTTTAAAGTTGGATGTGGTATCTCACAGTGGATGTACTCTATGAACACCTCATAAAGCTGGGCTCTAAATAGTAATCTGTCAACGTAGGGCTTAAAAAAACCACACTATTCTGGAACATCAAGTGCAACACAATGGTGGTTTTCTCTAAGTACTTCACAACGCAGGGAGCTTCAAGTGCTGTAGAATGGTGGGCTCCAAGTACTATAATAACTGTGGAAGACTTTTCTTAACATGTCTTGCTAGTCCCATCAGCTATCATCCTGACAGATGTTATTTCCATATCTTCCTATTGCACCATATAAAACTATCGTTTGGAAAGACAGAAAGGTGTCAACAATATAATGTTAAAATCATATGGACATACATTCAGACTACTACTCGTACCAACAGAACTGGAATTCTGCCCTGTCTGCTGCTGAAGATGGTCATGCAGCACTTATGGGAATGTCCGGAGTGCTGCCTAGATAGTTCTTAATTCAGCTAGAAAGGTGTGCACAATATCATGATAGAGACATGTTTATTTCCTTTACAAGCTAACTGAGATTGACTCCATTTTGACAACAGTGGATGTGGTTATCAGTGGTTTAGGGTATTAAACGAGTATCAAGTTGAACACTTTGAAGAGCAGCCAAAGAGACTGAGTTGCATGAAGAGTTGAAGTGGTTGGGGAAGGGGGAGGGTGGAGATATTCAGTGCAGACACTAATGGTGAACAAATGTTCATCATCATCCAGTAACACTGCTTGTCATTGGGTCACCAGTTGCTGTTGACTGTCTGATCAAATAGATTCGTTCACTACTGACGGTCAGATGTGATGTACTTCATGGTTGCTTGCTTAAGGTCAGTCCAGTCAGTCAACTTCTGTATCCAGGTCTTTCCTGGCCTGTCTCTTTTCCTCTTCTTCTTCTTTCAGATAACAATTCATTCATACCGAAACCATACTAATGTCTCACTGTAAATTTTATATTAACAATTCAATAACAGAATTTCTCTCTCTCTCTCTCTCTTTTTCTGTGTCACACCTACACTTGTTTACCCTGAAGACATTAATTAGACTCAACCAAACTCGTAATGAGAGGATGGTCCAGAGGGGCTGAAGTAAATAAGGAACCAATATACAAATGGGTTCCCCACATGGGGTGACTAATCACTTTACAAGCCCCCCACTTTTGAACCTCAAATCCCAGCTTTCTGTAGCGATCATCAGCTTCACCCAGTGGCTCATCCTTGTGACTGCCCTTGAACTGAAACAAATCAGAATAACACAGTTTTCAGTGACTGTCTTATTTGTATCCAGATCTGGCTTGTTTGAATTCAGACATATCTGGCTTATTTGTATCCATACAGACCCAGCTTATTTGTATCCAGATGCGATCTCTGATCATGTGCATAATCTACTGTGGGCCATAAACTAGGATGTCATCTCAAGGTCTCTTAGGCTTCCCCAAAGCTCAGCTGTCAGGTCTATGCAATATGTTGCTCCACAGCTCCACCACAGACCTTTCCAGTGGTCACAACATGTTCCATATTTCCTCTTCTCATAACATGGCCAGAAAATAATAACTGTCTCCTTCTGATGTCTGTGATAAGTTTTCTTCAGGGTCCTGCCTCTTTCAAAACCTCTTGGTTGCTCTTTTTGGTTTTCTAAGGTATTTTTAGCATTTTTCTGTAAAACCACATCTCTGAGGCCTCAAGAAATTGTTTAGCCTGCCTACCTGTTGTCCAACCATATGTCAAAACTGGATGCATGTAGCAAGCAAGAATTCTTTTTCTAACCTTCAATGACAGAGATAAATTGCATAAGATGCTCTTCATTTTATAAAATGCACTTTTTGCCTGTCCTACTGAATGATGCAGCCATGAAATGAACCCATAACTTTCAAAACGCGAGACCAATGGCTTGCACTTTGCCACCCTGACTGGTCTATAAAGGTATGGGTCTATGTCCAATGCAACAAAGACATGGGGGAAAAAATGCCTTTTACTCTACCATACTTCTCTTTACATCAACAACAAAACTGTACTTGCTATCAGAACTTTTCAATTTCTCTAGACCAGTGGTTCTCAACCTTCCTAATGCGGCAACCCTTTAAAACAGTTCCTCATGTTGTGGTGACCCCCAACCATACAATTAATTTTGTTGCTACTTCATAACTCCAGTGAACATGTGTTTTCCTATGGTCTTTGGCGATTACTGTGAAAGGGTCATTTGACCCACAAAAGGGTTGCGAGCCACAGGTTGAGAACCGCTGCTCTAGATGAAAAGGTCCTACTGTGCTAGGAGCAGGCATGGAAATCACAGGCCATGGAGAGGGTGATACAAAATAAATAACAACTTACTGCCTTCCCAGACGCAGGATCAATAAAATCAGCCCAGAAGCCTGCATTTTCAAGTGCTTGACAGAATCCAACAGCAGCTTGGATAAACTGGAGGCAGGAGGAAATAATTATGTAGCATATATTAACTCTTTGAGTGCCAAACAACGCACCATAAGTTTCTTGGTTATGACACGATATGTAATTTTGTTATGGTCCTCTGTCACAGGCAACTGTTGTATTAACCCTTTTCTCCCATGTGTGTTCAGGGCACTGACTATTTAAAAAGAGCTGTATGTGTGCATGTGTGTATGATGGGGTGGGGGAGGGGGAGACCTAATGTCTTTTAACAAGCAAGTTGTTAAAGGTAACTAGTTAAGGGTTTACTTAAATCAGATTGCTGGGCCAAAAGGCAGACAGACAGACATCACACCACAGCCTGGCTGTAAACCACAACACAAGGTGACAACTGCCCTTGAAGAGCAGAAGAAGCAATTAACCTTATGTTTTTGAATTGTTAGTTTCACTTCTTCTGTCCCATAATGTCTCCGTTGAACTTCTTCAGACACAAGTATTTACTGCTATGAGTTAACATTGGACACCACAGCACTTGGGACATTCCCATAAGTGCTCCATCTCCATCTTCAACAGTTAGCGCAGAATTCCATTGTTTTATGGTACCATCAACAGTCTCATCGTATCTTCGTCTTGCATTTCCTCTCAGTATTGACTGTTAGCCAGATTCTCCTGATCACTTGCCGAGTGCTCTATTCTCTTCAGGCCATAATGACCTATTTGTGCTCCCGGGTTTCAAAGGAGACATAACACAACTGCTAAGGACTGAAAAAAATATAAGATTGTGAGCTTCGTATATGCGGATTCCCAGGGACTCCCTTATTCTCTCTGACCATATTTTGCATGGTCAGCCTCTCTTCGATTTTCACTGAGTCTGTGTATCACTTATTGTTGTAGTATATTGTCTGCTGGCAGTCAAGTTAACTTCATCACTTGATTGAAATCCAGCATTGCTGCTACCCCAACTTTCTTTCAGATTTCATCATTTTTCAATAGTGGTCAAAAAAAAAAATCCAGAGGAATTACTTTATTGCACAAGGTTTTATCCCATACGGCTCAGTCTCTCTGCACTGAAAGGCTTAGCCGCCTGATGAGAGCAAAGTATACAACTATACAAGCACAGCACAAAGCTATTCATCACAAAGCTATTCAAACACACCACAAACCTATTCAAGCACAGCACAAAGCTTTTCAAACAAAGCACAAAGCTAGTCAAGCATAGCACAAAGCTATTCAAGCACAGCACAACAGCACAAAGCTATATAAGCAGAGCACAAAGCTATACAAGCACAGCGTGCGGTCAGGGGATGTACCGCACGAAGGCCAAGTATCTATGGGATATCTTTATCAATGTCTGCCCACCCCCCCCCTTACCCACAGGATTCTCTCTGTCCACCAACAATGTCGCCCACATTCATAGGTACGGCACATGTTGATGGTGATTATAACTGGAGTAAATGAGAGCCAACCCAACAAAAGCACCACTATAACAAAGGACACGTACAAATTAACATGTCCTGTCGTAACCATTAACGTTGTCTATGAGTACTGTAATATAATACACCATGCCAAGTATGGTCTTGTAGTGTGATCAGTCTCTTTATTATGAACGAACACACTGCAGCCTGACAAATTCTCACAGCGGCATCCCTCCAGACATGGACATAACACTCCAACGAACAATGTACCAGGTGCCTGCTACAGGGATCCCACACCCAACCGTGCAGTGACAATCCTCTGACAGTTGTCACCGAGGAATCAGGGTAGATGCACCACTTGGTGAAAGACTCCAGACTTCTTGTCCGCTTCCCCAGCCACTCATTTTTTGCATCACTTTAATTACACAGTCCATACATTCACTGGACTTGAAAAATTTGCCACACGCATCCACACACTTGGACTTACTGAAGGCTAACGGACTCAAACTACCACAGGACTTTTCCCATCTGCGGTCAATTCTGTGTGGATCTCACTTTCTCATCAACACTCGGGGTTCACAACAAACTCTGCTGTCAAGCCACATGGATCCCACAATATACATGATGTCCTCAAGTTTGTCATAAACTTTGAGCGACGCATGTTTTCCCCAGTGGCTCATGCTCCAATGTCTTCCAGTGACCCCAAATGTTTACATTATCAACCTGTCACACAAACTTATGGCTTCATTACTCTTTATACCCAACAGTGATTTTGCACACACAACAGAAGGGTTGCAGGAGTGACCAGAAGAGCTCAGGAATGAGGTCATAAGAGAAAAAAGTCGGCATAGAACCATTTCTCAATTACATAAAACACTTCAAGAGTGAATGCCTTGTGACGCTTTACCATAAAAGAGGAGAAGAACTTGGATCACTAGACAGACAAGATCAAGACAGAAGAACATACAAGCTATACAACAGCATGATGTGTCTGCAACTGAGGCAGTCTGAGCAGCAAAAAGCAGAACCTTATATCTCCCTTAACACCCAAACCAGTAAAAGAGAATGTTAAGACAAAGATCATACATCTACCGCACCATGGGTATACACTTTTTTTTTAAAACTTGACAACAGACAGACTACGAATTCCCCGATCGTGGGGAAAACAAGAATAGACCCTCTGATAGAAAACTAATTGGGGAGCAAAATGCAGCTGAGAGGCAAGGAACCAGTCTTTCAAGTGAATCAGATCTGTTGATCTCAACACTGGTTCTTCCTCCACAGTTGAAGACCACACTGCCAACTCATCCTCGGCATCCAGACACACAGTTACAACTGTTAAATCACCTTCCATGATGTTTCTGTCTGGAAAGAGGTCCTTAAAGTCTGAAAGTAAATAAAAAATTACATCAGCCTGAAAATGTCAACCTGAAACAATTCTAGAAAAGAACCCATAAAACAACGTACTGTTTATTCCCTCTGGCAATTTAAGAATATGAGATCAAACATCATCATCAACTGGTGTTATAGTGACCACATCATCCATGGCGCTGACTGGTAAACAAAAATATGCACCAATCTTTTTTTTAACCAATCCTCTTGAGGACTTGGAAGAGTACTTTCTTTTCTCTTTTATTTCAGTCTGAATAACTGTTCAACTATAAAGAGATTCCTCATGATTTAAATATTCAAAAGAGCTGGCTCATAAACATTATCCTTCCTTGTAAGCTGAAGTATTTCGGCCATTTTAAAAGCAATAATGGCTTGGAGAGAAAAGTAACAGAGAAAAGAGGCTGGGAACAACCAGCATGGTTGAGGATAGAAGATATAAATGACATCCTGAGCATACAAGTCCATGAGGTTGGAAAGTTGGCAGGTGACACAGTGGCTTTCCGGCAAGCTGTGAGGCCAATGATGCTCTGCAAAGGATCTGCTACATTGTGATGAACTGTTTAACTAGAACAGACAAAGCAGCACTTGTGACACACTTGTTCGTATGAAAGAAAATTATCCAGACCATGGCTCGATTCACTAAATAACCATTAACATCATCATCATCATCTGGTGCCTTGCCGACTGGCATGCAACAAAACTGTCAAGAATCTTCTCTGGTTGTCTTCCTCTATCCCTCCTTCCACAGATCTTTCCAGTGGTCACAACATGTTCCATTTTCACGCTTCACCAATAATATACATATATAATATATATAATTTCCATGAGAAAACAAAACAAAGCTACTTTGCAGAAAATATACCTTTTCTCAACAGTTGTGGACAATTATACGCCTTGTATTCCATCAAGTCTGGGGATGTAGGGCATGATGCCTCTAGGTCAATGATGTCTAAGTCAATCTAGGAAACAATTATTGGAGAAATCAGTGTCATTCAAATGTTGTTAAGCCTATTAAAGAAACAATCATGATCATCATCCTTTTGTTACATGCCACACAGTCTATTTTTCCTCTCTGCTCTATCCTGTGCAATTGTATTTAATTCTGAGCCAGGTGGTGTGCAAGTCTAGTCACTAACTTCCACAGACTTTCATCAGCAACTGTCATATGTGCACTCTGTGCACATTTGCAAAAAGAAGAAGAAGAAGAAGAAATAGAAAAAGAAGAAGAGGAAGAAGAAGAAGAAGAAAGAAGAAGTAGAAGGAGGAGAAGGAAGAATAATGAGGAGGAGGAGGAAGAAGTTTGAGGAGTTCAGATGAGAAGAATACTATGTTTTTCCGTTGGCTGACCTATCGCTATGAAATAGATGTATAAGTATTCGGAAGTAGGTGCGAATGAAGAAGAAGAAGCAGGGAGTCGCTGTAGTGTAGCCGGTCCAGCCTTGAGTGGGTACCATGTATACAGTAATGGAAAATAGTGGCGCCCGGCGTGATGTTAACTACATCACCCACCAGGTGACGACTGGTCTAGTTCTAGCCCTAGATGCACATTACGCCTGGAAGCGCAGGAAAGGGGCCTTTACTTTACTACACTTCAGATGAAGAAGAACAGCAGGGGCAGAAGTAGAAGAAGAAGAAGAAGCAGAAGTAGAAGCAGCAGCAGAAGAAGAAGAGAAAGGAGGAGAAGGAAAAAAAAGAAGAAGAAGAGAAAGAGGAGGTTGGGGAGAAGGTGGTGGAGAAGAAGAGAAGAAAAAGGTATGATATGCAGTCCCTAAAAGTTCACAGAAGCCAAGCATGCCATAGTATGACAGCGGCTTGTTTTTAGCTACCCACCAAGTCCCAAGATTAAAGACTTGTAAACAACGCGCCCTCTCGTACTCATAAAACTACAGGATCGTAAAACATCGGTGTGTTAGAACCAAAACAGCTGTATAAAAGCTCAAATAACAGCAGACTTGTTTTCTTGTTGGTCTTAGGGTAACACACCTTCAGGTCTTGCTGATCTGCCATCAAGGCGGATATTCTGATCTTAGCGTGTCAAACTTTTGAGGTAGCAGCCCCGAGGTAATGAACGACACGCAAGCACAACAGATCCAGGGCATGAAGCTAACGAAAGGTCAGGAAAAGTCACACAAATACAATCGACCGTTTCGACTTGAGTCGTAAAAAGCCCAAGCATCAAATACATAAGGCCGCCAGGGGTGCCAACACCTACATTCTGTCACAGGATTTCGACTTTATCTTTGCTGTCCCATCCAGTTTCCCGCTGGGGTGTGCATGTTCTCAAAGGTGCTTTATTTCTTTGTTGATGTTCTACCATAAGTTCTGAGTACTGTTTATACTCTACATTATTATGACCAGTGTAATTTATGTTGATCAGGATCTTTTGAAACTGGCCGTATGTATCAAGCTTGAATGTGCTTTCTTATCGATAACGAGTCAGTTAGACTAACATACAGATGGATGGATGAATGGATCGACAGACAGAAATACATACAGACAGACAGACAGACTTAGATTCATGCATACGTACAGACAGACAAACAGAGACAGACAGAGATAGAGAAACATACACACATTCGTACAGACAGACAGAGACAGGCAGACAGACAGACAGATAGATAGACAGACAGACAGATACTGCCAATGAACAGATAGATACGCATATAAATTACACAGCAAGAAAGGCGACTGGCTGGGCGGAATGATACACACATACATACCAGTTAAATTGATCAATCAACCCGTTTGGGGGGGGGGGGGGGGGGGCAGATAGACAGACATGTAGACAAGCAGACAATCCCTTGCCATACATATTACAAGGTAAATGAAATGGAGATTAATTAAATCATGCCCTCATCAGCGGTTCTCAAGCGGGTATTCCGGTTGTTCTTGATTCTAAACAGGGCTCCTCGAGTCAAACTGGTTTGGAACCACTGCCTTACAGTGAGGGAGCGGCAGGGATATACGTGCCGACGCCAGGGTGATTCCCGTCACAAGTCAGAGAGTGGATTAGACGGGTTATTGAACATAATTAATTCCTTTCAGAACAGCGGTTTTCAACCTGTGCGTCGCGACCCCTTGGGGGTCGCCTAAAAACCATCGGAAACCACATATTCACTGAAGTTATAACGTAGCAATGAAAATAATTTTGTGGTTGGGGGTCACCAAAACATGAGGAACTGTATGAAAGGGTCACCGCATTAGGAAGGTTGAAAGCTACTGGTCTAGAAAAAGATGCGGCTGAGCACAGCAAAGACTGAAAGGTGTCTACTGCAAGCCAAGAAAACACACACACACACACGTGGGCGGTTCTACACGTCTGGTGTGAGATCACTATTAGCAAATACGATAGACGAGCATGTAAAGATAAGACAAACAGGCGTACATACAAATAAGAGAGAGAGAGAGAGAGAGAGAGAGAGAGAGAGAGAGAGAGAGAGAGACAGAGAGAGAGAGAGAGAGAGAGAGAGAGAGAGAGTATTATTAGGTGTTAAAAATAACGAGAACACTATCTGACTATATCTCAAAGTCTCAAAACAGAAAGACAAGGAAAGCGACGAAAACAGACAGGCAGGCAGATAAGTAGGTAGGTAGGCAGGCGGGAAGACAGACAGACAGACAGACGGACAGGACGGACAGACAGACAGACAGACGGACGGACGGACGGACGGACGGACGGAGGACAGACAGACATACAAATAAGACAGAGAGAGAGAGAGAGAGATAGATAGATAGATAGAGAGAGAGAGAGATAGATAGATAGATAGATAGATAGGCAGGCAGATAGATAGATAGATAGATAGATAGATAGATAGATAGATAGATAGATAGATAGATAGATAGATAGATAGATAGATAGATAGACGAGCAGAAGATAGATAGACAGGATACCCAGATAGATGCTCCATGATACATAGATAGATAGATGGCAAAGATAGACAGAAAGACAGGACACACCCACTGCGGACACAACATGGCAAAGATCAACTAACAGCGGACACACGTGGCAAAGATCAACTAACAGCGGACACACGTGGCAAAGATGAACTAACAGCGGACACCTCTGGGCTGACGGAAGTGACGGACTGTTTCAGACACCTACGTGGTCTAGTCGCACGTCACTGACAAAAACAGAAATACACACATGTCTTTTGTTGTTCCCAGCGTTCACAGGCTGTAAGCTTCAGTTGAAAGTTATGGTTGTTCGTCCACTTCTGGACTGTAGTCTTGTTCCAGAACTTGAGTTCTGCATGCACATCCATGTTACAGATCTTCTTTATTTGCAGGCAGAATGCAGCCTCTTAGGCAAATACACCCAGACTTCAGAGTTAAAAAAAAAAAAAAACGCGATTTAGTCGACCTTTACGACATGCTAGTTAGGGGGCAGTGGGTCTATCCCCCCCCCCCTTTTTTTTTTCTAATCGGGCCCCTGAACTTATACACTGAGCCGGATAAACAGTTCCCCATAAATAAATAAACAGCTTCTCTCTATTATGCTAGCCATTTCGGTTCTTTCCCAGTAGACATCATGACGGGACAGTCTAATATTTTCCAGGGTGATAGGACCTGGTTTCCCGGCTCGGCTTTCTGTGTGTTTTCCAAGGCGTTGCCAAGGTTTTGGCGCGCTTTTTTTATTTAAAAAAAAAAAAAAAATGCACAGCACACAAAACAGAAGCACAGAAAAGTGACAACTGCACAGAACAAAACTTCATGGTAAATGAAATGCCAAACTACTACACTATACGCTTCATCTCCCACAACTTGAAATATTAGACTGTCCCGTGACCTCTGGATTTTCCCTATTTGTTGTCAGATTTTACGATAGTACCGCGGTTTCGTGTCTGGGTGGATATTTTTCTAATAAACAACCTATGAATATCTGACAAGCTAGTGCATTAGCCAGTTAAGGATTCGCATGCAGCACGAGATTCTCATAGACGCCTCGTCCTAAACTTCTGCAGCCAGTGCAAACATCGAATACTAATAGTGCCAGTTTGTCTTCCAGATCGTCTGTCGGGCCGAATCTACTGGTTAACCCCCCTACCCCTCTTTTTGCACACAATTCTTTGCAGAGCAAGGAAGGTAACGGGGATAAACAGCACTTCTTGTTTTCCCGCCTAAATCGATCCCGAGTGTCACTAGCTGTTCTTTTCACCGCATACTTTTGCAGCTAGTTTTTGACAGGGTAAGGTAGCCAGTCTCATGCCAAACCTCCCGAGTCGCCTCTTATGATATGTACGGTAGATCATCGTCAGTATTATGTTTCCTGGGTGGACTCAATGCATGGCGTCCGCCTCGAGGGCTGGAGGTCCCGGGTTCTGACCCCGGTGAAGGCTGGGATTTTTTCACGTGGACTTCTAGTAATTTTCCCTGATCTCTGTGTAGTAAGATAGGACTCCCGTGTGTATTGCTGCGCACGTGAAAAATCCACTGGCAGTTGGAAATCGAAAAAAAGTTAAAAATCTACTTAAAGTAGTTGAGGATCCTCGCCGCTGCTAAAATTCCGTGCACTGCGCTGAGATTCTTCAGGCTCAGGCTTGAGTCAGAAGTAGAACGAAGCACTTATGGGTTTCTACCCCTGAACAGTGAGTGATGTTTGATTCGTTGTTCAAAACATCTGTTTCGTTTACGTGTCCCGAAAACGAAAGTAAAATGCCGACGGAAATTCATAAACATTAAATGGGATGAATTTTTAAAAAGCCAGGAACTCGGGGCAAAATTCCTATACAACAGTTAGTATCAACAGTTATGAGACCAGGAAAGTCGCGACATTCTGACAAGAGTCTGACGTAGAATCACCCAAAAAAGGCACTGAAAGTGGAAAGAAACGGACTGAAGAAACAAGGACGTCCAAGTGAAACCCCCCTAAGACCAACGGTGATAAGTGAGATGCTGAACTCAGGGCTGCCAATGCTGGGTTTTTCCACCCAGATCTGGGTTTTTATTTGACGCCTCGGGT